AGTTTTTCTGCAAAAAATAAAGTTTAAAAGTTTTAATTTCTACTCTAAAATTTTAAGATCTCCATAAGGTTAAAGATGACCAGTTGAAAATAGACACGTATAGATCACTTATCGTGTAATTTTCATGCTGCATACCTAAGCTTTGATCTATGACATTGAATTTGTTAATATATGTGATTTTAGAAGGTTTAGTCGTGCAAAATATAACAAAAGCCGCTAAGGTCCTATATTATACGTTCATGGACCAGATTGATGAAATTACGAAATAATAACATATTGTTGAGCTCTCTAAAGATAATCCAAAATCACATATATTGAATCAAGTGGGAGATTGTTAGAATATTTTATAAATATTCGCAATTAATATGATTTAATATTGGATTTAAATCATGGATTTTGTAACGTTAGCTATTAATAAAGCATAAATGTGATCATTTATGAAATATGCCTAAAATCGTAATTTCGGTAAAGTTTAGGAGCTAATGTGCAGATACCGTTGTGTTATTTCCATTTCTTTTATGAGCGGAATTGGAAATAATAAGAAGTTTATTTTCTATAAATTAAGGGGTCCCTAGGTCACACACCAGTTTTCATAATTCTTACAGCCCATATTGTGAGAATTTTTTTCTTCTCGTGTGTTGATCTAGAAGATCACAATTCCCGATTACTGTTCAGACGCTACCGGATTCATTGCTGAAATAGATTCAGGTAAGACTCTATTCTATTTCATTCTTACATGCTACATGTCAGATTCAAAATGTATTTTCTGTGTATTCAGAAACACAATATTGTTAAAATTAACACTCTTATGTCATATTAGATTTTTCAGATCTCAAGTGGTAACGGTAAAAACGTATCATGGTTTATATGCAGTGGTTTGGCCAAACAATAAATAATTTTAGTAACACCATGTTCGAATCTTTCAATGCAAACATAGAATTTGAAAAAGGTTTTACCGTAAACGATATGATGAGTTAGTTGGAGTCCAAATTCATCGTAATTAGATGCTAAATTAATCGTCGTTTGTTTGGTTTACTAGATCTTTAATTTATAACATCGTGATAGAAATAGTTATAATAATTAAATCTTGAGAAAATATGTTATATAATTTCACCTTTTGTCCTCTTTTGCAAATTCCCTTAGTCGTGATATTGTTTTATTATCATACGTTTTTGGCGTGGATGTGTGTGTATTACGAAATTTTAATAGCACAAGTTTTAAATGACATTTAAGTTTATTTATGAATTATCTCATAGAGATTGATATTTCTTAAAGAATGAACGAGTTGGATTATAGACTTAATAATAAAAATAATGGATTGGATTGGATTAATCTATTTAGATTTACGATTAAATCGGTTTGGATCGATCCGCATCACTTGAACCATTTTTGACATCTCTAATGTTCGGTTGAAAATTTTTGACTTCATATAATATATAAATAAATAAATAAAGAGTTTGGTCCGCGTTTCTTGTATGGTAATTCAGTCAAGAGCCATCGCCGAGGCTGATGTGGATGGGGAATAATTTTTCTCCAATTTCAGTTTAGGGTTTGAAAAATCTTATGTGTACGTATATGTGTGTGTTAATAATTTAAATGTGAAAGAGGAAGTGTACGGGTAGGATTGTGATGTGTCGGAATTTATGATAACTCTTCATACTAATATGTATAACAGCTGGTATGTGATTGGTGCCCACAAATTCCAACTCCCCGTTGTAAGAAATCCCTTCTCTTATTTTTTTAATTAATAAATAAATATATTAATAATCGTAAGAGTAACCTTAAAAAACAAAAGTATGTGTTTATTTTTCCAGATTGTGCATGTTGGTCGTAATAGTGAAGCTACGAAGACTAAAGAGACTATAATATTCTATTTGATTGCGTATGCGAGTTTTCCTTAACACAAATGGAACCCAAAAATAATAATAATAATAATAATAATAATAATAATAATAATAATAATAATAATAATAATAATAATAATTAAACATCAGCCAATTTGAAACACCAAGTTGTTGCATGTCAATTTCCGACAACTCGCACAAACAATATACATGTTAAGAAAACAATAAAAAAAAATTATGCTTCAAATGGTAAGAGATCGTATATATAAAAAATTCTATATTAGTAACATTTTATGATATGATTTCAGTGACGTTAAAAAGGGTATTATCTAAAATATTCCCATTTTATTAAAACTATTTCTATACATATATTTTTCCATATGTGATCATTTCGTCAAAATAACATTATACTCAAATGGTGATCATATTGATTATAACGTTGAATTTATGGTGATCGCACCAAATCACCATAGTCACATTTTACATATCACATTGATAACTAAGTGAAAACATCATAAATTTAACGTTATAATCAATATGACTATACTGTAATTATGGTCAAATGGTCACATTTGAAAAAAAAAGTATGTGTATAATTAGTTTTAGCAAAAGGAGAATATTTTACATAGAGCGCCCGCTAAAGATAATCTTAAACTTATATATATTTAATAAAACCAAATTATATATATTATATTGTTCTAATCTATTAATGTCTATAATAAAAAATGTTAGACCATTCCTTATATATATAATCAAACTTCGTACATAATCAAACCATAATTTATATCTTGGAATATATCATTAATTTGTCTCATCTTAATTAATCTACGCGACATGATTAAGCAATATATAATCCGGATTACAAGGTTAGGTAATTATGGATTAGACGTGTAGGAATGTTCTTCCATCGGGAAAAAAAATAGAAAAATTATAAATATAAATAATTAGTCAATTTTGACACAAACTCGTGATTTTGTTTGCTTACGGCGACGATAAAGACCTCCTAAATTGGCTCGCATTCACCTAACATCTTTTACTGTTTTGGTCCCAAGTGCAGGACCGTTCTATTATTGTATACTATAATGTTCTTGTGTGGATAATTGTCACACATTTAATTGTTTCCATAACCATATCTCTCCTTTGCATATATCCATTAAAACCTATATTTTCATCGATATGATACAATTGTCTTTGGAAGATTTATTTATTTTTATTTCCTCTTTAATCTATAATTTTTTTTTCTATAGTATGATTCAAAAAAAAAGTTGTGGACCATTCATTTCATGTATGGAAACTTGTATCGTGTATTAATCATTATCCTAAAGTTTGTGGTTTAATATTAAATTATTATAAAAAAAAAAACAAAATCCGTTTTCTTTTGCAATTTACGTTCCATGATAAGAAATTAAGAAGCCGTAGATCTAACGGCTAAAATTCATTTACGTCAGAACCTACCAGAAGTTAATGCCATAAAGAGAGGAGCCTATAAGTAGGACACCGTCTCCCTAGAATCGCCACAACTCTCTTCACACGCGCGAGACCCGTCCAGAGACGGGTACTTAACGGCCGTCAAGTTTCCGTTACCGTACGAGACGCCGGACAGCGCCGAGAATGATAACGGTGGCCATCGCTGCGGAGCTGCTAGAAGAATACACGGCGGCGCTCGCTCGCATCACCGCCAGTCTCCTCCCTCCTCCGCCGCATCGCCGCCGTCGCCGCGGCGGGGTTGAAACGACACTGCGTCGTCGTCACGCGCTCCCGACCACGCCGCCTTTGTCGTGAATTTCTGAGCTTTTTCTTTTTCTCTTTTTGGGGGTTCGTTTTTCCAATTTTACAATTATGGTTGTAAAGAAGTTGGAATTATCCCTCGTATATAAGTATCTCAGAGTATTATTATTTTGGATTTTGTTAGATGTTCATCAGAAATTCCGCCCGAGTTATTTGAGATTTTCTATAACAAAACGGTTCAAACTCCAAACCAATGGTTTATCATATGTGAATCTATGAAAAATAAAAGTAATAACGAAGAACAACGATTCAAATGACCCAAATTTGGATAGTTCTACCGATAAAATGGGACGCAAAATATCTGGTTTGTTTCGAATTCGAATCTCAAATTGGAGAGAAAACATATATTCCAAATCATATGACTGACCTCCGATCCCGAGATTAGTTTGGGTTTTGGTATAAAACATCCGTTACAAAAAAAACAATGATTCAAGTGTTCTAACGTGCGGGTGGTCCACGGCTTCTCTGCTAATAAATGACATCTCACAGTTCAGCAATGCATGAAAAGCAAGGTCATTAATATCGTGAAAAGTAATTATATATATATATATATATATATATATATTATGAGCTTATATAATATGATACATACACACACGCACACAACGGATTAGTAGCTTTAAACTTTTTCTTTGTACCTTAGGGAACGTAATTTATGCGATGTACATGAAAAAATAATAATATACCCAATTATGAGTATATATTAAACAAATATTGTGTTAATAGTGTAATTATAGGACTATAATGCTAAACCCTAAAAACCAAACCATGAAAAACTCCAAGTCCAATCACATTTTTTGTTTATTGGATGAATCCCATTTGTTATTATATATAATAACAAAAAATAAAATGTATGATGCTCAATGAATTGGCATTCATTAAGATTTTTTTTTTTGTTGTTGTTGGAAACATTCATTAAGATTTGTCCACATTGTTGCATGAAAACCCAATGTCAATTATTAATGTTTTGTCTTAATCACGATAGAAGATAAGATTCCTCGTTTGCTTTCTTTAGGTGTCTCCAAAGTCCAAATTGTTACGAAACATGTTTTTATTATTATTATTATTATCATTATACATGTTTTTATCCGTTTTTGTCTGATTGTGTAAAAGAAAAAAACGACGAGATGCTGCATGGGGGACCAAATCACATGCCTTATCATTTAAAACAAAAACTATACAGACGTGGAAACAAGCTAAAGATGATGACAAACCCCAAAGAGTGTTTGCCCTTCTCGTTTGGAGTAGGAAAATATTTTGGTGTACATACATACCTACATACATTAATATATGGGTCCAAAACATTTAATTGATTTACATTTGTGGACATATATTTTATTTCTTGGAATGTCTTAATCGATTAACACCGCTCATTCTGGTACTTTAAGCCGAATGCTCGCCTTTCTTGGAATGTTCGGGAGTTACTTAAAATGCAGGTGCTAGCAAGGAGATTCATCCGATGCAAGATTGGGGATGGGAATCGAGCATCTTTCTGGCACGATCAATGGGCGGGGTTGGGCCGCTACTTGCCTACATAGGAAGCGCGAGACCGAGGCAACTCAAAATTCCGATAAATGCAAGAGTGGTTCAAGCAACATTGAATGGAAATTAGAACCTATCAGGAGCGAGGTCACATCAAATACAAGAACTGCAGATAAAGCTGCTCCAAATGTCGGTGCCGAGGATGGACGGGGACAAACAACTACGAATGGAAGATAACCGATAACTCCTTCTCTTCAACTTTATCTACAGCAGCAATGTGGTGGCAGTTGAGGCAAACTTCAGATTAGGTGGATTGACACCAAATGGTATGGTTCAAACAGGTCATACCTAGAAATGCTTTTGTCTACTCGATGGTGATACAGGGAAGGCTGTCTACTCGAGACTGTCTCCTAAGGTGGAACGTCGTGTAAAACGCAACATGCCTACTATGCAACGGGGAAGAAGAGTCACATGGCCATCTGTTCTTCCGTTGCCCTTATAGTAGTTTGGCAACGCTGGGCGAGAAAAATATGAAGAAACCGCCGGCGGAGGTAGCGGGTTGTCAAGTCTGGTTAGAGAGCATCCCCTCCGTCGACAACGAAGGAAGGTGTATTCTTGGCAAGCTATTAATTCAACAGACTATCTACGAGTTGTGGAAGGAAAAGAACAACCGGTCATTCAACAACAAGTCGGTTCCCTCAAATAACCTCAGTTCCAGGGTTGGAATTCGGTTAACAACGTATTATTGCAAAAATGGTATTTGCTCACCCTTTCAAATTCTATCGAGACATAGGCATATATTAATTCTTTCTAGGTTTGGTTAACAAGAACGATAAGGTTTGAAGCTTGTAATGTGAATCTTGGATCTTGCTATTTGTACCACCATCTTTGTTTAATATATACCCAAATTTCAAAAAAAAAAATATTTTATTTCTTTCTTTTTGTTGTAGTTGTTAAAAAAGGCAAAAAGGAGACGATAAGTGGCATAATACTATTGCGGCATAATAATAAAGTACACAGTAAAAGTTTTATATCATATATATCCTTAGATTTTGCATATTTATTTTCCTTACATCCTACATTTATATCATCGATCAATCTATAAGGCAGAAGATTTGGCATGGTTTAGTTCGGATCAGTCCGTCCGGTTTAGCATAATGTACTTAATTTTTGTAGATTCGGTTCGGTTTTAGGTCCAACTCTGTTTGCTTTAATGGGCCTTACTCATCCTTGAATCTTCATAATATTGTAGGCCCATGAGATAAAGGCCCATATACAGCTCTCGCATTTGTCAGCTTCCTCCTCTTCTTCTTCGCCAGTCCCCTCGATCTTCTTGGAGAGGAAGATAATGGATGGTTTCGGCTATGGCGGTTTCTCTGGATCATCGTACCCGTATTGGCCACCTACTTCATATCACAGTTCGAATCCGGTGGCATCTGCTCCACCGTTTACAACGAGCCGCCCCGTTGAATCCAATAGTCCGATTGAAGAATTATCTGGTCCGATGAACTTTTATGGCTATTCTCATCGATCACCAGCGGATTGGCCGTTTCAATCGGCCCATATCGGTGTAGTTAAGTCTCAGCCGTCTTCTTCATCGTTTTACGCAGACAATACACGACCGGGTATGTCTCCGAATTGCCCTTTTGCTGCAAAATTTTGTGTTTGAAGGGTTACCGATACCTTATCGGATTTTGGATGTTATGGAATCTCGTGGCTGTGTAATCTATATCATGTTCCGGATTATTGTTTTGTTCCCTTGATCTTGTTTCGATCGGTATTTCTGACTATAATTGTACTGATGTTTTTTGGGGTTTATAGATGTTATTTGGTATGTTCCTTTGCTTCACCCACTAGGTATTAGTTTCTTGTCTTGCGATCATTATCGTGATCGGTGGATGACTGAGATGAGCCTGGGTTCATTTTTTCTTGGATGCAATGTGATGAAAATGGAGTAATCTTCAATTTGCTGTCGCAATTTTCTATGACTGTGCGTACTTTCTTTCCTGGTGGAAACTCATGAATTCTTACTGGTAACAGCAGTTTGGGCTTCGTTAGAGAAAATGTGTTATGCAGGAACTTATGGTTTTTCATCACCCCGTATGTTTATATCAATTCTCTCTCAGTTTCCACTGTTTGTGTTTTGATTTTTCCTTCAAACTCTTGGGCTTTTAATTGGGGATAGCAGCTTGAGCTTGTTTTGAAATAGAACTGAAATCCAAGGTCAACTCAAGCATTTGCCATGTTTAGAAATATTGGATCCGCATCGAAAACGCATCAGGGTTCTCTGAATGCAGCTGTTGACTTTATTTTAATGGGAATGTGGGCGTGCCTTTCATATCAGATGATTTCTCGTTATTTCGTTTTCTCTTGAATTGAAGTCTCGTGATTTCTTGAAGAGGGTTACAGTTCAGGCTTGCTTTTTTTTGCGTAAAATGAAATTGTGAATGCAGAAACTTTTGATTCAGACATGTTTTTGTCTAGCTCGTTATATTTATATTTGATAATTTGATTATCTTGGAATTTTCTTGGTTTGTGTATTGTTTCTTCAACATAACTCTTGGTTAGCTAGCGCTTGGTTTCTTTCAACATTGGTCTGAAACTTTGTATGCAGAAAGTTGTGGCTCCAGGGGTGAAGATTCCTATAAAGGCATGTTTTCGCCAAGTGGAATGTTTACTTCAAGGGAAGTATCATCTGTCGGTTCCGTACATGCCAATGAAAATCTCTTTGAGAAACATCGTTCTCACTTTGTTCCTTCATATAACTCAGCAAATTTGGTTTCTGGGTCTTCATCAACATTCATGCAAACATGCTATTCTCAGGAACCATCCATTCACCCACACCATGCATGCTATAATGATTTTGAAACAGCAAAGGCTGTCTCCAGTTATCCTGTGGAGCCGGATATAAATAATAGTATCGCTCCCTTACCTTTGTCAAGTTTGGAACCAGGAGCATCCTTTGATGATACCCAGATCAGGTTTCATTTAGGTTATGGAGAACCATTGCCAAGCAACAGTAGTGTTTCTAAGGATGTGCTTGACAATAATCTTGGAGTAAAATCCAGCCTGCAGAGTTCTTGTATTGAACCGGTTAACTTTGATGCGTTGCTTATATCTGGTGAAGCCACGGGTCATAGCAAGCCTTTGTCTGCAGGCTTGGATCTTCATAACCCGACAATTGTCTCACCATGTTGCAGAGGTCCACGTGCTTCTCAGTCTCCAGCATTTGATATCAAGTCCTCGGATTCACCAGATGATAATAAACTAGAAGAAGGCAGTTTTGTGTATCCGAGGCCTACGGCTTTGGTTGGTGATATAGACAAAGAAGATGCCCTCGGGTGCTCCTCGAAGAACACATGTGAAAATTCAAAACCCAACGAGATCAGGTATTGGGGTCATTTCATGGTGGCTGATTCGGTCGGACCTTCAGTTTCTAAGTTGTTGTCTGAGCAAAGCCAGTCATGCGATGCAATGAGAGTAGAATATGGGAATGCAGAATCAACTGTCAGCCATACGAGGCATTTGTCAAATAACTCCAATCGACCAATTAGAAATGATGTTGTCCAGGCCAACCCAGAGCCTTGTAGAGAGAGAGGACAAAATTATGGCGAAGATAAAATGAATGAGGATAAAAATTCAACAGCCAACGAGAGTAGGTTTTGGGATGACTTCATGGTATCTACTTCCTGGGGACCTTCAGCTTCTAAGTTGTCTACGGAAAGCCAGTCATGTGATCCGGTGAGAGTTGACTACGGGAATGTCGACAGTTCTGGCAGAGGGTACGAGAATACATTGGAATGGGAGCATGTGTATAAGGATGAGTTCGATGGGCAGAGAGGCTGAGCAGGAACTACGTGCAATCCAACTTCTGATATTGTGAATGTTGTGTAGTTTGTAAATGCCGAATCAGCAGTAAGCCATAAAACTTGTTTTCTGGATGATGCCAATAACCCAGGTGGAGATGATGTTGTTCAGGCCAACCCAGAACCTTGCAAAAATGGAGAAAGTATTTTTAGTGAAGATAAGATGAATATGGAGAAAAAGGCCACATTGTTCACAAATCTTGGTCTCAAAGAAAGGAGATCTGAAGCATATGGTGCCTCAAACTGTTCCTTTCAAGATTTGACATGCCCCACTTCTTCTCCACAAGTTTCTTTAGTGGTTAATGCGATGCAAAATCTGTCAGAGCTGCTTGTTTGTGAGTGTTCTGACAATGGAAGCAGGCTGAAGCAGGAGGATCTTGAGACCCTTGAGAAAGTGGTAAAAAATCTCACCAAGTGTTTAAAGGGAAACACCAGGCGTAAAACAGAGGCAGGAGAAGCCTCAGTTTGGAAGCAAGCAATGCCTGTGTCCTCTTCAAAAATGGTTAAGCTTCATGAGGTATGCTCCTCCTTTAATGTAGCTTTTTTTCTATCATGCATCAGAGCTATATGCGAAAGGTTCAATTGCTGACTAAGTTATAACCTTGAGGTTTCAGAAACAAATTACAAACAAACTTGCTTGCCAAGTTAATTTTGCTTATTGTTCGGGAATATCTGATTTTGCTATGCTCTCTTCCAACTTGGTTTGTGAGAAAATGAAATGTGCTGTTTCTTTTCCTGTTTGCCGAGTTAGTTGACTCCTCTTGGGAGTCTAATATAGTCTTGTTAGTTGTTACCATTAGAATGAAATGACTACTGTTTTACTACTTGAGGGTGCATTTACTTTGTAGCTTTTGCTAGAGGTCGGAATTTTCGTAATTTTAGCTTATGGGATACCCTTTCTCAGGTTCCCAATGAAGGCACTGCAGATTTTCAGGGTCACTATGTAAATCCTTTGGAGAATCGGTATGGTGGTTATGCTTTTACAGAGACGGTGAATAAGGATGAGATGACCCAGGTATTTTTACTTGCATAGTACTCTTTTGCATCACAATAAATTTCAATAAAATTTACTGAAATTTAACTTTTCAGAATATTAAGAGCATACTTGCCTCCAACTTCCCTGATGACCAAGGATCGCAACCACAAGCTCTCCTGTTCAAGAATCTCTGGCTCGAAGCTGAAGCTGCTTTATGTTCTACAACTTACATGGCTCGGTTTTACCGGATCAGTAATGAGATTGAGAATCACAAATTGCTCAATAAAGGTTGAATCTTCCATATAAAAGTTCCTTATTTGATTTTGTCAGGTCCTTGGCACACGCTCTTGCGACGCTGATAATAGACAATCCATCAGCAGTTAAATGCAGAAAACTGGTGTATTGGCCGTCACTGTAGTATCCCTCTATTCTGTTTTAGCCATCAAATTCAGATTCAGTTTTAGTATTGACCAACCATAAGCATTTGCCATGCGTTAGATCTATCCGAAAATGGTTGCTTGCACATTTATATTGTTTCTTCTTGCAGATAATCTTTAGGTCTCTGTTAATCTCAAAATTTTAATCCATCTTTTACTTCTCATTTCAGAAAGTTCATCAAATGCATCTTCATCGGGGCAACAACCTTCTGTTAATCTCCAGAAATCGGTTCCCGTCACGAAAAATCCAGAGCCACAGACAACTGAATCGCTTGCTGTGGACGAAAGCCTTGAGAACAATGGCATTACAACGAATCATTTAACAGGAAGCTGGGGGCTCAATTCCGATTCTGTGGATGCGCTATTAGCGTTAATCTCTGGGAGCTTCTCAGGTTCATCAGAACAGGGAAGTCATGGGAAACTTAAGCATGATGCAAATTGTGGAAAGATCCCGAGTGCTATACCCGAGGAGAACCCTACATCCAACACGAGCAGCCATGTAAATGATGTTATCGACAGATTTCAGATTCTGGAAAACCGGGAAGTTAAGCACGAGTACGAGCATGGGTCTCTGAACTGCTTGGATTCAGCTACCAATTCAGATTCAGACAAGGCGGTTCGACTAACAGGAACAGACAGAGGCGAGAAGAGTGGCCAAATGCCACAGACACCGACCCATCATTCCCTGGATAACCCAGAAGCTTCAGGCCCAAATAGATCCTGCGGAACCAGCCATGCGAACGATGTTATGAAAAGATTTCAGATTTTGAAACGCCGTGAGGCCGAGAATGAGCAGAAATCTCTGAACAGATTGGATTCGGATTCAGACAAAGTCATTGAACCAACAGCAGTAGGCAACAAAGATCATTCGGCCTCAGAGACATGCGAAGGTACTGAAGATGTGAAAGAGGATAAAGGTGTGTCCGAACTCTCTGGCAGAGGGTACGAGAATACATTGGAATGGGAGCATGTGTATAAGGATGAGTTCGATGGGCAGAGAGGCTGAGCAGGAACTACGTGCAATCCAACTTCTGATATTGTGAATGTTGTGTAGTTTGTAATAAGCAGGACGAACGTGTTGGTGGTTCAAAAGAACAGCGTGCAGTCCATATGCTGATATTAAAAACGGTATGTATTTCAGTGATGTCGAACTACTGTGTTTTCGAAGCCTTTACGTAATAAAGCTGTGTACTCAGGATGATTGTTATTGTTGATCATAGACGGCATGCAGTCCAGCTGCTGGTACTCTAGATGTCGTGGTGTTCGTCGGAAACACATATTAGTATCAGAAGGGACAATTGGGCCTGGCTAATGTTCCAACTTCTACCCGTAACGGGATCAGAGGAGGAACGACGTGCAGTGCAGCCTATGATATTGGAAACATCGTGTAGTTCACCTTCTACAACGTGCGAGTATGCGCATGGTCAGAGTGGAGGAGCACAAAAGGCATTTATTTAAGCTGGACACTAAGAACGACAAGCAGTCCAACAGGATATTCCGAACATCGTGCAGTTGCAGCCATCAAACGGATCTGATTAGGCGCGGTTACTCAGCTTAAGCTTATTAGCAGAGACAGCATGCATTTCAAGTGATCACGCTGGAAACGTCGTGACAAGAACACGCGTTCATTTGCACTAATTGAATATGTATTTTTTGGCCACTAGTTAACTTTTATATATACTAGATGAGGATGTGCGCGATGCGTGAGTTATTCTTTTTCTAATGGTATAATTTGTTAATATTAATATAATAAAAACTAATATAGATTATTTGTTAGATATATTTAAAAAATATATCTATACAATTTAATTATTGTAAATCATCATTATATTATTTATATAAAGAATTAAAAAAATAAAGTTTGAAAATATGAGTGTTGTTGTCTAGTTTTGTATAGGTTTGATGTTAATAATTTGTTATGAGCGTCTTAAATCTCGTTTTTTTTTTCGATCTCTAAAAACATTTAGTTAAAAATTATTAATAAAATAATATATGAGTTATTTTGATAATGGTTAAATTTATATATTTGTCATGGATTTTTTTATGATGTTGAGTTGTGTATTTATATAATTTTTTTTCGATATTGATGTGTTTAACGTAAGAACGATTTTTAGTTAATTTAATATAATAATATTGTTGTTGTTTTAATTAAAAATTTTATATTAGTTTGTTACAAGAGAAATGAGATATAAATTTGTTTAAAAGTATATAGTTTACAACTTAATTAAAACGTTGTAAACTTACTCTTTTAATAATATATGGAGAACATTTTTTGAGTTGACAATTTAACTCATAAATCTGATTCTTCTATTGCGACCAAAAATTCAATAATATTTACAATTAAAAAATATATCAGTTCTAAAATCAAAGTATCTATTATTTTAAATTTTATTTTATAATTTGATAAATCTAGTATGTTTTGTTTTGTTTTTGTTTGGTTTTAATCAATTTAAAATAAAAGATTGGTTTTAATCAATTTATACAGTTGATGATCTTTTTAATTCAAAATTAATAGTTGATAGTTTTGTATAATTAATTTTAAGTATAAGGTTTTCCCGTGTAAATGAGATATTTGTCTTTTTTTAATTTGTCCCCAAACCAAACAATACTAATAATCCGAACCAAACTCACTTTAATTAATTACATGCTAAATCACACACACATAAAATACACACACACATAAAATATATATACACATTGACTCACTTTCAATACAAACTTCTTGATCTTGTTCATAGCTCTGAGTTGCTTCATTCGCAACAAAGAACATTATTGATAGGCTTAGATGCATCTCTTACTTCTCTTATCCATGGATGTTCTGAACTGAACAATGTGTTACAATTCCGGTTTAAAGAATAACCGGTATCAAAAACTGGAAACGGAAAAATCGGTCTAACGAAGAACTTATCATGTAGTGATTCGGTTCTAGGTTCGGGGTTTTAACCCTGGCGTTTTCTGAAGAGAAGGAACCCTTCCAAAAACATCCACCTGAAAATAAGCATGCGACTCATTGTTAGCACATGCATGGGGGAGGATCTCTGAAATGAATTGAACATAATGATGCTTCAACATTACACCCAAAAACATTCACCTGAAGAAAAAGCATGCGACTCATTGTTAGCCCATGCATGGGGGAGGATCTCTGAAATGAGTTGAACATAATGATGCTTCAGCATTACACCGGAAAAATATTTGTCATAGTAGACAAACCGAGCAGAAGACAAAGCAGTGAAATAGCAAGACAAAAGATTATGTGGACTATAATTTAAAATTGATTGGAAACAACCAAGTAGAGAGAGACTTAAATATTTAAATATATACCAATTAAATTTAGAGAAAAGGAAAATGATGAAATTTTGGTTAGGGTTTATGGGTGGAAAAGGTAAATCCTGGCTCCTCTGAAGTCTCATGGATAATCTGAAACTTCTGTTGGGATCTAATTGTTAATTTTTATAAACCAAATACTCACAAAACACAGCATAGACATAAAACAAATCTGAAACATAAACATGTATTCAGTCACTCATAACTTACATACGCTATACACACATACGATTGCAGGAAAAACTGATTTGCAATAAAATATTCAACCCACTACTACACATATTTATAGAGATAATTTAGTAACCGATAGAAACTTCTCAACCTTAACTACAGAATTAAAAACTTCTAAATAACCGATTGAAACCGCTTTTGAATCACACATCTAACACTGATTTGATCTCAAGGTCCATAAACTGAATCACTCAAACCAAACCATCGAAGATACGGTGTGCTTCTTTACTCACCTTACTTTTTCGAGAAAATCCTGTAAATTTTTTCTCCCTGTTCCGTGAGAGAAAACTCAAGAGGCAACCAAATTTCTTCTGGATACCATCCCGTGCGATTCGCAGGTTCTGAATGAATGAACAAATAAGAATTTATATCGGTTTTTTATGCACTAATATTATAGAACCGCCAGTTGATTATATAAATAAGGAATGATAAAATTACCTGAGAACCGTAGTTTCGTTTTAATCTCGTTTTTCATCCCCAAACTGTTTGATATAACAACAAACCCCAATAGAATTACCAAGTAAAGAAAAATGAGGGTGAGAAATGAGGAGAAGGTTTGCTTATATTACTCTGTAAAAAAAAATTACAGAAATGGAACACAAAAAATCGCAAACATAAATTAAGAATGATGAAGAGATGGAACTTCCTCAACAACCCCGACCACTGTCTCATCTTGTTCTTCGGCTAGGGCTTCCTGAAATAGACAAAATTAAAAACCGAAAATCTCACTTGTAAGGACGGTACAGTCGGCTTATATAAAAACTCTGTTTCTGGTCATTGAACAATACCTTAAAAAAATAACTTCACATTAACTAAATGTGAGTTTGATATTCCGATAAAACCTCTGTTTATGTAAGAATTCATCAAATCCAATCTTTTTTTTTTATGAAAGTTGGTAGTATTAATCAAAATTGGTGATACAACGATCAGGATCTCATATCCATATTACAAGCTACCAAGCTATCACTAAATAAATCCCCAAACGGGAAATACACGAAAACATATGAAACCTCCGTTTATATAAAAAAATCCAATCTTGGGGTTCATGTAAGAAATCTTGGTTAATTTACATCAATGGCGGTTTTAGATTGAACTCCCACACATTTGGAACCACTGATGCTTGCGATCTTCATCACGCTACGAGTACTATACCCTCCTCCATCGTCCGAACACTTGAGATTCCTCTCCCCTTTCGGGTTATCGAGCATCGAAGCAACAATAGTTATTTATTAATATGTTATTAAGAAATCATGTCGTTTGAGTGCACCATAACATAAAAATAAAAATAACTATAACATTTATTATTTCGACAAAGAACAATAAATTATTTATTAGTGGCTAATGAATACCACATTGAGTGTACACAGAGAGTGTCCGTTTTTAAACTTTTTACTTCCTAAATATTATTTACAATATACGTAAGAGTATTTATGTTTATATTTGTATTTGTATTTGGATATGAATATATATATGTATTTTTTTATTTTGTATGTATGTATATATATGTATATATATATGTGTGTATGTGTATTTATATATGTGTATGTGTATATATATAAATATATTTGTTTGTATGTATATGTATATATATTTGTATAGATGTTTGTATATATATATGTGTATATTTTTTTTATTATATATATATATAGATATATTTTTATATTGGAGTATATATATTTATATTTGTATATAGATATGAAAATGTATTTATATATATGTATTTTTTTGTTTTTTTATTTTATTTTAAAAAATTTTAAATTTTAAAAAAAAATTTTCGATTTTTTAAGATTTTTTTTTTAAATCTGACGTGACATGCTGACGTGGTAAAATTTTCCATCTGACGTGCCACGTTAACCGCCACGTGTTGTGCCACATCAGTTGTTAACGAACACTTAACACCGTTTTCGGATTATGTAGAAAATTGAAGTTAAATTGGATAGTTCGTGTATCGATTTGGCACATTTAGTAATTTGGTGTAGGTTTTTGTCAAATTAAAAGTTCGTATAGGAAAATACCACATTTTACAAAATCCGTATAGGAAAATGTCATTTTTTTCTATTAAAAATGATATTAGTAATATCTTGAAACATTGTTTGTTTGATATTATTGTTTGGTAAAATCTTGAAATCATTATAAAAAATATATTTTCCTATTTTTTTAGTTTTCTATATATATCTCCATTGTTTATTTCTAATAAATTATATGTAGAATTGAACTGTAATTCGTTTATCTTGTATTCTTAAAATCATAACTATAATATATTGAGACTTTTGTAATTCGTTTCTCTTGTATTCTTAAAATCATAACTATAATATATTGAGACTTATAATTCAATTATGTTGGCCTTTCATTTCGTATACATTGTCGTATCCCCTATAAATTGTATCCTTACTTTCTCGGCAATCGAACACTCTTCATCCCTTCTCCGCCTCCCCTGCCAACGTTCACTCTCGCAATATCTTCTTCTTCAATCCCTCAAAACATCGAGCACATCGTCCTCTTCAATGTCAAGGATGACGTTGACCCCGACAACGTCACCACCATAAAAATATTGTTCAAAGATAGTTTGGAAACTCTCTCGTATTAATGTATTGTTGTTGTTGGTAATAACATATATATTGTGACCATCATTTTCAATACAGTAAA